TTTGTTTTTTACGGCTTTATACTGGTATTAGCGGCGTCAGTGATTGGAACGTTGCGGTGGGTGTTGACCCAGTCGCTGTTACAGGCAATGGAGGACAGTACTGGAGCGCCGAGGAATAAAGTGCTGGCTGTAGTATACTACGTATCACCGGCCAGTGCGATCGGACTGCTCCCCATTGCGTTATTCTCCGAGGCAAGCGACTACGCGACGTCGAGATTTTTACTGGACTCGCAGCTGTTGATGATGTCGCTGGTGTTTATCTTCATCAGTGGCTGTCTGGCCTTTGTGCTGATTTTCATTGAGATTCTGCTGGTCAAGAAGACGTCGGCGCTGTCGCTGGGCATCGCTGGCAGCTTCAAAGATGTCACGCAAGTGCTGCTCGCAGTCTTCATTTTCGGTGACCAGCTGATTGCAATTAACGTGTTCGGCCTCGTTGTGGCCACTTGCGGGATGCTCTTCTACACGTACATCAAGCACACAATAGCAGAAGCAGCGGGTGATGCAAGACACGGCAAGCAGAAGGGATACGAGAGAGTTCCCACGTTTAATTCCGACTTGGAAGACGGCAGTGATGTCCAATCTCCAGGCAATAGCAAAGATATCGTCCCGGAATTTCAGATGAAAGACGAGAGAGTCTCGGCAACAGGAACCAAGACTGTGTCAGGTGTGGAGCTGGTACGGCGAGAGAGCAAGGATTACTTCAACTCATCAGGCATGGTCGCCAATGCCTCTCACGTGTGACGAGAATACGGGACACTTTTGTAACATTAGGCCGCAGTTCGGAACACTAGCAGCAGTTCTTGTTCTCGCTCGCTTTCAATTAATAGACCAAACCAGAACTCAAAAATGTAATTGCTGGCTCACTTCACGTGACGATATGCGGGATGTACTCACGCAAACGCCCGTCACGACACGCACTGAACACGCGACCAGTTTGGTCCCCAATGGCGATTCCACGCACAGCGTCGTACTGTGGACCGGTGAGTTCTGTGGCTACGTGGGGTTTTTCACCGAGACTGCTCCAGTTGCTGCATGCGCCGTCACCATGGGCAGTCCAAACGCTGCAAGTAGACGCTGGGCTATCAGCTGATGGAGCTGCTACTGCAATGCTATAAATTGGAGAAGAACTCCGCGATAAAGCGTGCAAAGGAGCACTAGATCACACGTATTAGTGTATGCTTAATGCATTGTACACAGCCAGTTTGTTGACGTACCTCGTGTGCCGTAGATCCCAGACAGTCAGTAAACCATCTTCACTCCCGGTAAATAGCATCGGCAGCGACGCTGTTACAGTCGTAGCAGCACACGATATGATAGAACCAGCAAAACCCTCGAGGTTTAGCACCTGTAAATGTAGAGATCGTTAGGACTCAACTGTCTCTCGTAGTTGGTTTTAAGGCAAAGCGTACCGCTCCTCGAGCACGGATATCCACTCCAAGCGTCTCTCCATTGTCAAGCCCTGCAAAGAGCACCTTTCCATCCGTCTCAGCTTCATTCTCGCTCGTAGTTGGCTGGTAATCGCCCTCCACCAGTAGCTGGGCAGTGCCATCCATGATTGATAGGCAGTGCACTGGACTCTGGTCATCATTCGCCCACTTGGCAATGACGTCCTGTGTCCCGCAGCTCCACAGCTGAATTAACCCGTCAGTTCCGCACGCTGCAACATGCCAAACACACACATATCCTGTCGTTATTATCGACCTCGTAAAATATCTCCAACTGCATCCCTTTACACGTACACAGCACATTTCTGCCTCTACCAACGATCGCGACGTCCTCAATCCCTCCAAGATGCCCCTTCATAACAGCAGCACAACGTCCATTGACGCTCCAAATCCTCAGTGTAAAGTCCAGTGAGCCTGTGAGTACAACCTGCGAGCTTGGGAAGAATCGGGCACTGGTGACGTCTGCTACATGGCCCTTTAATGGCAGCATCTGAGCTCTATTCTGGCTGTCCCAGAGCATACAGGCTCCGTCCGAGCCTCCGACCACCACATATCTTTCGTCTTTTGACACATCCACTG